TTTAAATATGTTTACTTTATACATTGGAAGGTGTGTTATTTGATTTGTGTAGATTTGCACAGTCCAATATTTAGTCTGAACTTACTCAGAGTTGAGGCATTTGTTAACACACTCGCTGAACTCACTTCTTAACAGAGTCCCATGCTAAAAGCTTACACCTGCACTCATCACATCCTTATTGTTTGTATTCCATAGAACAGGCAAGGCCACTAGGGGGCAGTTTTTAGCCACCATAAACTCTTTACACTTGATGGGAAATCAAGCTGTCAAGATTTTAGATCCTGGTGAAATTAATTGTATAATTTCCATCCAGGCTAACAAACAGGTTTTATTACAGTAATCAGTTGTAAATGACAACATAGACACTGCATTTAAAATAGAGGAGTAATTAGATTTTTTTGTTTTGGTTGTTGTTGCAAATTGTGCATAGATTGTAGTGTGTTATAATAATAATAATAATTGTTGTTGTTGTTAAACCTAGAAAAGTGATTGTGTGTTTTTTATGCCAGGGTTAGAGCATATTTCATTTTAAGACCTGCTTCGATAAGTTAACGCTAAGTTGAGACAGTGTTGTGCAATGAGGTCTCAGCTTTGCCTGTTTGGGTCTGGTGCCTGCTGAGCAGTGGACAGCATGTGCAACAAAGTAACTTGTCCTTTGGACATGGAAGTTAATGTTTTTCCTTCTCTTTGTCTCTCTTGGGAATTTTATATTTGCTTGGAAGAAACAACCTCTTGATTGTGTCTAACCAAACTTTACAAATTTAGCAAGCAGAGCCTCTGAAATTATTTTTTAAATGATTGTCACCAGTGTTACAGTGCTAGTTACTACAGTAAAGTCAACTTAAAATAACAAAAAAATAATTGAAATTGATGTATTGCATATTGTAGATATCAGGTGTAGTTTATGAAACTTTAAGCAGAAAAAAACAAGAAGGGTGGGCAGCTTGTTCCCGAAAACCACATCAAAAACTCCTGTATGCAGCCTTAAATGCACTTCCTCTTAATTTTCACACAAGCTTTCTGGTCTATTTCATTAGCATTCATAAGTCTGTCAGTACAATGAATTATAGATTAGATCATTTTTATTGTTGTCCACGATAATCGTCTCTGTTCAGCAATAACGAATTCTGAATAACCTGCGTAAGACTGGAACGAACTCTGGAAATTTACATTATTTGAACCTATTTTAAAGGCCCTAAGTCTTTTAAATTAAATCAAAATACAAAAAAACATGGCCGGAATTATACACATTATTTTCCACTTGCGAGGAATGAACCAGAGAGGCAGCTACAAGGGTGAAGATGGGGTGGTAAAAAAGAGGGGCTCAGCAGGTGAGATGTCTTCTCGCAGGACTGAGGAGAGACGTACTTTGTTCATGGAGAAAGGGCTTTATCAGAATTGGGAAGCCAGGCTGCTGTGAATTTGTGCTTTAGAACATCTTGCCAGGTGTTTTATAAAAAGAATTATTGATTTCACATAGAAAACTGTTAAAACAGCAGTCGCTGAAGCTTAGATAAAAGGGAGGATGGGCAGAGCACACTAAACTAACAGCCAGGTATAAATCTCTACTAAAGGGATATGCATACTGATGGGATCAGCTTCAAATGGGAGTGCTAATGTTTGTGTGTTGATATTATGAGGAAATTCCCCTTAGAAAATAGCCATTTTTGTTTCCTGATATTGTACACAGTTTACTCTTAACACTGGGTAAAAGATCAAGTGTGTTAGATACCACTTAAGTATCGCTGGCTGGACAGGGATTAGCATTGAGTAAGTTATCCGATTTCTTTTCTGAACTGTCCGTTGCTTGTCTAGCAATATCTGTTACAGCCATGTTAATATTATGTTGTTAAGCAATAAAGATTTTTCTTATGCCTTCTGGTTTTTAGTATTCCTAAAAAAAGCTATTGCAAAGCGAAGAATTTGAGACTACCGCATTGACTATAGAACCTAAATTAGCTCAGATTATTCCTACTATTAAATGGATTCAGTTCTAGAAAAAAAAAGTTTTACCACTGGATGGCGCAACGTTTTGTTTTGCTCTGGATCAAAGAAAAAAACAACATTTAGGGTAATTCAACACAAAATGGTGGACAAGATTGTGATGTTAATGTTATAGGGTTTTTAATACCCTACTCTAAAGAGTTTTGCTTGGTTAAACAAATGAATAAAAGACAACTGAGGAGAAATTTGCATTTACATTGAAAACCTGGAGAATACCCACTCATACCGTACAGAATATACCAGAGAAACCTGTCCTGTACCTTCCTTACAGGCACACCTCCCTGCTGGGATTTAAACCCATGAGTCTCGGGCCTAGAGCCCTAACCACAACTCCACTCCTGTTTCCTAAGTGGAAACTACGTGGCAGTACATTTTACAATAAAAACAGGAAGCACTTCTTCATCCAAAGGGTAGGGGGGTCTGGAACAAACTACTCAGCTGTGCTGAAGTCGATACCTCCTCTTTTTTCAATGTACAGCTAGATGAGATCTAATACTCACTTCACATCTCTCTATCAATATGAACCACTCGGCAAAACAGGACGTTTAACTCTAAATTAATGACCTTACGTGCACAAATTGTTACAGGCTTGCATACTGCACAATCCAACAATAGCATCCTTAACGCATTTAACACATTTGTTTACACATCCTTAACACATTTGTTACAGTCCATTCCATAAAGATGGTTTAGTTGGTGAAATATGACTGTTTTTTTTGTTAAAACATGCCTATTTGGCCTCATTTCAGATATTGTACAGTATTTGGGTATACAGAGATTTCTCTTTATTTCTTATTTGTAGAAATTCTTTGCATTCCCCAGATATCTGCTTTGTTCAGATGACTTCACAAGGTGTATTTGACAGATAATCTGTACTCCTCATTTAAATTGTTGTCCAAGTGTACAGATATTTCATCTAGACCCTCCCAGTCTGGCACTTCTGATTAATCAATGTCTCTCTCTCATCTGCTTTGTCCCTATTAATCACGGGGGTTATAAATGATAACGCCATATGAAATATTGCTTCATTTGTCTTACTCTAGCGGATAATACGGCATGGCCAGTATTTAATTTTATCTACAACAATAGCTGTTTATTCTCAGTATTACATTTGCTTCGTTTGCTTTAAACAGCATCAAATGCAGAGCAAACAAATACACAATGTTCAGCAGCTGCAGAGCAAAGACTTTAAAAGTTTATCTACTCCAGTGGGTGGCCAAGATTTGTTTTATGATCTTTTTAGCCATGAGGCATTATTATTTAGATTGGAGTTTTTTGCTGCAGGATTTACCGGCTACTGGAATCCATAGCGTTTTTGTATACCTCTACATCTAACGTCTGTGAGTGACGCTAAGAGGGTTAGCTGCCCACCTCAGCCCAGATTTTCCTGAAGCCACTATTTTAATGGAGTTGTATCCAATGCATTCTTCCAAGGATTTGAAATGAAGTGCAGAGCAGATGTACAGTAGCAGCGTTTTTTACCAGAGCTAATTTAAAATAAGCACGCAAACATCCATCAGTTTAATCTGACTTTGATCACTCTTGGCTGGGTGAATGTGCTCACTGAGCATACCTCCTTTTCAAGTCATTGGGCTGATACTCTTCAAGAAGTCCATGTTTCCATAAGATAAAGATCACTCATGTCAAGAGTCATGCCTTAATTAAGGCTAATTAAGATCTCTTTCCACCACCATGGAAATGTACTTTCTCATGCATCAAATATTATTCTTTTTATTGAGTGTTGCACTGTTACATAAATTCTTTTTTTTACCTCAAGGAAACAACCACTACATTTATTTGTATGATTATTTGGTGATCTGTGGAATCTCGTGCATTTTAAGTACAGACCTCTCTAAAACAATTTAAAGCTGATAATTTCCTTGGTTAGAAATAAAACGAAGCAGAAAAGATTAACAGAAATGGTCATTCTGGAACATGCAGATGATATACTTAAAACAGTTTAGTATTTAAAAGCTTAAAAGAAACGTACTGTTTACTTTTTAATAGTTTTGTAAATTTAAAATATTTATTTCATATTAAAAACAATGTGCTATACATTTTTTGCCATAGTTTCCCATTTTAGAGATCAGTTGATTTTGTATTTTGATCACCAGTATTTTCTGCATTTTATTTTTGTTTTTGGATAAAATAACCTACAGTAAGTATTCATTCCTGTGCCAAATATCTTTCCCCTTATTTAGCAAAAGCTCTTCTAAATAGGCTTAAGGCTTACATGACAAGACCCCCTCTACTGTGAAAAATAGTTGCATTGCTAAACCTTTCGTAAAGAAGATTAGCAAAATCATTTTGTCACAAATACTGTAGGTTCACATTTAATTCCAAGGATTTTGCCAAAGCAATACACTGATTATGAGAGTGTTCTAGTGAGCTTTAATTATGTTTATTTTTTTATGTTTTTAGCTGCAGACATCTGTGTTTTCTTTGTACAGAATATTTAATAATAGAATAAAAAGAGTAGAGCCATATACAGTATGAACCAGATTCCACCTTATAAAAGTTATTTCCTTTCTGCTTTGTAATATCTGGAAACATGTTTCCTGGAACTGAAATCTTTGCTGAATTCCAAATTTCAGAAAAGTTAAAAAGTTTTGAATGAGCTATTATATGTTGATAGAGAAAACTTTTTTATTTCTTTTTGAATCAGGGTTCATCCATCTATCTAGCAAGTCACTAGAGGTCAGACCACCAGCAGAAGATGCATGCTTTCAAGTGAAACTTGTAAAGTCAAGATCAGAGCTGATCAGAAGGATTCCCAGCAGTGTTTTTTTTTTCATAGAACAGCATGAGAGTTAATTCCATTAAAAGATCACAAAAGCATGGTCAGCCTAAATTTGATGTTACCTAGACAGATTAAAGAAAATAACTTTTTTTTTGCTGTTCCTCTTGTCCCCAGGACATCGGTGTAACTAACGGCCAGGTTTCAGATGTTACTACTCTGATGAATTAATTGATGCATTGTTGTCTGTGACTTCCAGCGTGAGAAGCTGATACATGAATTGGAGGAAGAGAGACGCCTGAGACTCGAGAGTGAGAAGAGACTGCAGGAGGTGATTGTGGAGTCCGAGCTCAGCAGAGCTCAGATGGTTTCAATGCAACAGCAGTTCTCCAGGTACCACTTTTCTACTGTTCGGGGGGTTCCACACCATTTTGAAATAAACCTCCCCCAGGCGAGCGAGAATATTCCTATTTGATTCCAGAATTAATCTGCATTAATTATGAATTCTTAATTAATATTTAAGAATTAATTATTGAGGAACAGAGGTATTGCGGAAGGTTTTACTTGGAAGGGGACTCTCTCTGCTCTTCCACTGAGAAATTAAGAGTTTCACTCGTCTCTGAAGGTTTCCAAGGTCATCACCTAATGAAACACTGAGACTTACATTTTGCAGTTGTCATTATTTAAGTGGGTGGCCCAGTGTCACATTATTTAGCATTATTGCCTTGTACTGTTGGTGTCCTGGGTTCAGTTCCTGGGGTACTGTGTATGTGGAGTTTGCATGTTCTCCCTGTGTTTCCATGGGTTTCCTTTGGGTGCTCTGGCTTCCTCCCACAGTCCACAGACAGGCTGGCCGGTAAATTGGTTTCTGGGAAAGCTGCCCCCGCTGTGAGTGTGTGTCTGTGTTCTGTGCCAGCGTCCCGTTTAAGGTGTATCCTGTCCTCCACACATTGCTTGCAGGGATAGGCTCCGACTCTCCCGAGGTGGCTAGAAAATGGGTGGATGTAATTATTTATTTGTCATCTCATTGTAATTAAGTATATAACAAGGCAACAAAACACTCTCTGTCTTTGCTTTTCTATCAGATGTACAGTATGGTGTATGGGAGCAGACTCTTATCTTACCAGTCCTGGAATTTAGGTTCATAAAACATATACAGTATATACCAACCAAAGGAGTTCATATTTATTAAATGATATATTATTCATTTCTGTGATGCCATTGAATATTAAATTGAAGAGAAGCCATAAACTGTTCTTAAACATTCTGTGTGAGTTACCAAACCTCCTAGACAGGTTTCTACTTCATTGCTATGCTGATGAAAAAGGGAGATATTTTGATTGATACAGACTGGAGAGTTATGCTTGAGCATTGTTGAAGCTTGGGACATTTTATTTCAGCACGTCACAGAATTTTTATCTAACATTTCATTACCAAAGTTCGCATTGGTTGCCTTAGGGCTAGAACCATAGCCACTCAGAGAACCAGATTCCAATATAAGAATGAAAGGCATCCTGAGGTTATTTTGTATCTGCCGTAAGCACAATTTGTCCTTCTTGTTTCTGTGCTGAAGTAGTAAAACATGTCTCATCTAGAGTGCATCAGCAGTTTGTTGGTTGTACCTCCTTTTACTCTGTGGCCCATGCTGTCTCCAAGAATACAGCATGCCTCAGTGTGTATTTAGGCAGAGAGCTGAAAACACTGTTATTTAAATGAAAACATATTGAGCTTCTTAATTTGTTCTCAAACGTTTTATATCTCACCTGGACCCTTCCAGTCTGTCTAATTCTATCACACAATCTGGGTTGTCAGTGGTCGTCAGTGACCGATGGTGATGAAGTTTCAAAATTTGTTTTACCTCTGAAATATTTCTTTCTTTTGAAAGAAAGACAAGGCCAATTTTTTGGCTGATTTTTGCAGATGTTACCAGGAAACAGCCTGGGGCTTTTTCAGGTTCCTTGTCATTTAGACAGGTAGGAAATTATCCATCATGCTCCTGTAGGGGTCCGATAAATGAGATGTGTTGTGATCCTCATTAAATTATGTTTTCTGTTTGAGTGCAGTTCTGAGCTGCTGGATTACAAACCCTACATTATTTAGTGCAGACAAAAGGGAGTCTTCTTTGAGCACACCTGTAGGGGGTTTAGACCTCATGGGATTAAAGCCTAATACATCACTATGTTGCTAAATAACGGGTGTTACTTTTTTTACAAGTATGATGTTGGCCATTTAAAAATTATGTCAGTTGTCAAGGAACAAAGCAAGCAATTTTATGTCTGCTGCAGGCAAAACAGAATAATTTATGTGCTGAGAGACACCCAAGCATTTCTTTCAAGTGCATCTTTCTCTAATTGATATCAACTCTGTAAAGTGTACAAGGTATTTTCTGGAATGGCTTCTTTTTCCATTATTTGATGTTTTTTTCTGGATAGGATTGCATTTGGCTGTAATATAATATAAGCGTGCACACTTTTATACAGAGTGTATGACCTGATGTCTTTTAGAAAGTAAAGGAATTTAGTTGTATCATTAAAAAAAGCAAAGTCAGCTTTCCACTTTGGGTGAGTTAAACGAGGAATGCTTTTCAGCAGCATGTCTACTGAAGTGTGACATTAGGTGGAATATCTTGCCAGTCAGCTTGAGTGTAAGCTAATCATCTTCCTTGGGTGGAATTGGATTCATAATTAGTGTATGGCAATTCAAGACAGTGCCTGAAGTATAGCATTTATGGAAATGCACTGATGCACTTGGTCAGAAAAAGCTTTTAATATAAATCCTTAAGAAGCTGAGATTGCCACACTTTCAATTTGTGAAGACCTTTTTAAAAACTCTTAATATTTATTGTGTTACTTGAGGTTGTAATGACTTGCAAAGAAGTCAAATGGCATCTGGGTAATGTATGTGTCAGTCCCAATTTCTTCGTGAATCTACAGATAATGTAAAACAAATTTTATTAAAAATATAAATTGCATTTAGACCATAAATAACCTTGTGCTTTCAGCTATGGATTTGTGTATGTGGGAAGATGAAAACACATTTAAGCTTTTTTAGCTTTTAGAGAAAGAATATAGAAGGAGAAAAATAGTAGATGGTGTCAGGATGTTGTGTACAGCCCACAATAAAACATTGAGATAGTAATGTGGAGGTTTCTACTGATGCACACAGTGCAGATATTATGCACAGCCTTTACAGAAATCATGTCAATCTACATTAGAAAGCTTTGTTAGACCTTTATGGAATTTGCAAAACAGACCCTAACTGACATTATAGGACAAAAATACAGTTTTAAAATTAATTAAAATTAAATTTGGTCCAGTTGCCTGGTAAATGTTATGGTTAAAGAGACTGCAGCAGGAATGTGCAAATACTGCACATGCTGATGTTTTGCGACAAAATGTCTAGGTTATGTGCAATGATGCCTGCCACCGGTGGAGGTGGGCCTATTTATTTGAGAAGGAGCATTTCCAGTATTAAGCAGTACTGCTATATTACTAGTCAAAGCTTCATATTGATCTTTGAAAAGGTCAATACATTTACATATAACTCAACTGGTTAGATGTTGAATCGCATCTAAGCTGTTCCTTTTTTAGATCTATTCCAGTAAAACGTCCAAGCATCACCATAATTTTGTCTGGCACAATGAGAGATGTACATGGTATATGCTGATTTATTTACATTTTGTTTTTGTTTATTTATATTTTGGTGCTGCTTCAGAACTGTCTTTTTGTTGTTTTCTTTGAAGTGTTTTCAAAACACAAAGTCAAGATGTTTTCCAGATGCCTGGCTCTTGTAGTACCTGAGTTACAGCACCAAAAAAGAAGTCTGGATTGCATGTGAGGCTGCATTGCATTTGATTCCAGTCCTCTTCTGCTTTTGAAGCCATGGTTCTGTGGCACTAGCATTAGAAGTACACTATATGACATAAGGAACCAGATATCAATTGAAGTCTGAAGAAAAATGTTTTTAGAATATTGTTTGAATGGATTTAAATGGAATCCTGTCTGGGTGAAAATCTTGACTGAAGAGCTTTTCATAAACTAATATATACAGTATGAGGAAAGAGTAAATTTTATGAGGTTTTGTAAGTGGAATTATTTACAGGAATGTATTTAAATTAATCTTTTGCTATGGCTTTTTTATTTTTTAAAGAAATATACATACTGTAAATAACCATTGTGCTAAATTTGTGAGAAAAGGTTAACGGTTTTCGTATATGCTGTTTATTTATATTTCATATATTCTACGATAATTAAAAACACACATTCTTGTTTGTGGTTAATGTTAGAATGGAATAGGTTTTATACAGTATGTTTTGGTTGTGGTATATTTTCATTTATTTATAAGGTTTTGTGCTGCATGGTTTCAGGCCAATAGCTCATTAAAGAATTCAGGTATTCCTACAGTTCACTGTTAGGTTGAACATGCATGGGAAAGGTGTGTTAAAGACCCACAGAAGTATCTTCTACACAGACCACAGAGATGGTCCTTGATTTAAGCAACTGCCACATTAATGCAATTTGGTAGTGATTGACACTTCCCATGTGTTTGATAGGGTTAAGATCTAGATACAGTACATGAAGGTCAGTATGTAATTTTGACTCAAGAGGAATAAAACCTTGAATGACTCCTTTTTAACATGTCATTATTTTATTGAATAATTAAGAGATTAAAGTGATGCTGGTTTTGCTGTAACATTGGGTAGAGCACAGCTATAACAAAATTACTGATCATTGCTGCAAAATGCTTAAAATTGAGTGTGCTTCTTATGCATTAACGCATCTTGTTTATATGTGCAACCTCACAAGCACAGATTTCCTGAGTGCTGGTGTACTTTCTGGAGTCAAAGTACAATTCCAGAATGACGTAAAAATAGAAGTGGGCTATTGCTGTGAAATGAGAATGGATGCACACTGAGGATTGTATTTGCCAGATTGTATTGAGGAAATTTCAGGTTGCTGAAACATGATCAGTGCAGCACTTACGTTTTCACACCGCAGTGTTTGATGTGATGAGGAATGTGGCACAGCAGAATTGTGTGTGAAAGAGTAGTTACCGGTTCGGCAGTCAGTGGTTCCTGCTGCAATGACCGTGCTGCATCCAAAGCATGGTGAAGGATGGAGGGCCACCGGAAAGCATTAAACAGAAGGCCTGCAGACGACGCAGTACAGTAACTAAATGTCACACAGCCAACAATCTCAGCTCACTAGAACTACAATATATTAAACTAATCTTGCAGAATTTTTTATCTCTTGAGTTTTTGTCTTTCTGATATTATTTGCATAAATTGTAAACATTTGCCACTTATTGCACTTATTGTATTGTTCAGTAATCACCTGATTGGTGATACATACTGCATGTTGGAAGGTGTTACCCCAGCCATTCGTTAAAATAAT